TGTGAAAGGGCAGTAGCAGTACCTACATCACGAGACTATTGGGAGAACTAACCAAGAAATGGAATTTCGATCACAGTGTCTGTTGCAGAGCACATGAACACTGTCAGCTACCATGACTACAACACAAAAGGTCCTTCTGTTCCCCCAAATGTTATGGCACCAGTGGAGATACAGAGGAGACATGGAGGTTGTCAGCTTCCCAGAAGAGATTTTTTCCCTTCTGGTGCAAAGGCCCATAGCTGGGAGTAAACAGAATGAGTGGAGTTGGGGGAGGGGAGGGGCGCAGTAGGGAGGGAGGCGTAGCCAGGGCAGAAATTGTATTTTCCCAAAGAGAAAAGTCCATAGTAGGAGGTAGCACTCCGGGTTTCTGAGAAGTGAGTTGCTGCTGAGATTAGCAACCAGTTTACAGCGTTCAGCGGCGCTCTGCTCTTTCCTTGTGCACAGTCGGTCGATAGACACATCTCCAGACCCTGGGGAGTTTTTAACAGATTTTTTAAAAGATTTTATTTATTTATTCATGAGAGACACAGAGAGAAAGGCAGAGACATAGGCTGAGGGAGAAGCAGGCTCACTGTGGGGAACCTGATGCAGGGCTCGATCCCAGGACCCTGAGCCCCCCAGGCGTCCCCTAACAGATCTTATAACAGGTGCTCCTCACCCCCTTGGGCAACAGACAGATGTGTAGAAACTAAGGTCTTGTTGTGGCTTCAGTGTCCCAGGTGTGGTGGCACATGTTAAAAAGAAAAAAATTTTTCAACCAAGTGAATGTAAAGTGACTCATGAATCAGCAGCACCCGACGTAGCAAGTAGAGAGGAACTCAGAAAAAGTTGTACAAAATGGAAGCTTTTTATAGGAAGGAGAGCAAGGCCAGAAAGTTATTAGCAAAAGAAAAGATGGTTTGGGGCAAGATTACCTTTCCTTAAGGGGAAAGGCAGGGGTTTTATTATGCAGATAGGAGAAGACCCAAGTCACAAATTCCCTCCTTGATGCTAATCAGAAAATTCCTGGGGTACCTGGGTGGCTCAGTGGTTAAGCATCTGCCTTGGGCTCAGGACAGGATCCCAGGGTCCTGGGGTCAACTCCCATATTGGGCTTCCCTGCAAGGAGCCTACTTCTCCCTCTGCCTGTGTCTCTGCCTCTCTCTCTGGGTCTTTCATGAATAAATAAATAAAATATTTTTTTATATTAAAAAATATATATATGTATTTTTTTTATTTTATTTATTTTTTTAATAAATTAATTTTTATTGGTGTTCAATTTTAAAAAAGAAAATTCCTGACTGAGATCAGTTAAGCCTACTTTTCTAGGGGAGGTTGAAACTGCAATCAGATTAGGTTAGGAAGGGATCCCTGGGTGGCGCAGCGGTTTGGTGCCTGCCTTTGGCCCAGGGCGCGATTCTGGAGACCCCGGATCGAATCCCACATCGGGCTCCCGGTGCATGGAGCCTGCTTCTCCCTCTGCCTGTGTCTCTGCCTCTCTCTCTCTCTCTCTCTCTCTCTCTCTGTGACTATCATAAAATAAATAAAAATTTAAAAAAAAAAAAAAAAAGATTAGGTTAGGAAGCCCCGATTTGCTAACCTGGCCTGGTGCAAGTGACATTTTGGGCCTTGAACATTTTTTGTTTCTGCTTTGCATTATTACCATCTGGTCACATAGGGTCTCACATGAACGATAAAGTCCCTGAGGGCAAGAACATATATTATTGAGCTTTTTATATTCACACAGTGCCTGGTATTTAGTTGATGATCATTCTGCCCTTGTACTCTGTTTGGGGGCCTCTTCTGGTCAGCTTCAAGGAGAGAAATCAGCCTTCTTTTGGCCTGTCCTGACCCTCCAGGTACACTCAATCCAAGTAATGTGGAAACAATGGCAAAAGAAAAATTATTAAATTTCCTTACTATCTACAGCCCATTGACATGTCCTTGAAACACACAGAGTGACATTCCTCTAGGAACTCAGCGGCTCGACGTTAATGCTTTGCTAAGGGCAAAAAGCAATCTTAGTTTAACATTATCCCGACCCCCCAGGATCCTGTGAGTCTACTTTAACATATAAAAATTCCTTTGGAAACTTCATCTCTACGCCACACCCCCACCCCACCCCCAACCCCAGCTTGATAAACGTTAGCAACCATCCTGCAAGCATAGGACCCACTAATGTACATCTGAAGGGTCTCCTGACTGAATTTTTACTAAGCAGTAATAAATGACATTTTCATAACAATAGCTAGCCCCCCTCTGGGTTCCTGGTTGTTTCCAAAATACCTTGGAGGCTTGTGTTTTCCCTCACCCCCTACCAACTTGGAAGTATATAAGGCCACTCCTCACAACCCCAGTGCAGCTCTCCACCTGCCCTAGGTCCTGTCTCTATGCTCAATTTCTCTTTTTGAAGACTATTTGAGAGAGAGCAAGCACAGGAGCGGTGAGGAAGGACAGAAGGAGAGGGAGAAGCAGTCTCCCCCATGAGCAGGGAACCGGAAGCGGGGGGCTCGATCCCAGGACCCTGAGATCATGACCTGAGCCGAAAGTAGACGCTTAACTGACTGAGCCAACCAGGTGCCCTGTCCCTGTGCTTTGATAAAATCACCTTTTTGCACCAAAGATGTCTCAACAATTCTTTCTTGGCCCGTCGACTTCAAACCCTCGTGTCTTTACTACATCAAGAGGGAAAGAAAAAAAAAAAAAAAAGAGGGAAAGGAGCTTTGTAGCTGATGTGCTTTGAAGTAGGGTTCGTAAGCCAAGAAAGAATTCTTGAGACATTTTTGGTGCAAAAAGGTGGTTTTATTAAAGCACAGGAACAGGACCATTGATTATATACTTTGGAGGGGGGGGGGGGGAAGACCAGGGAAGTTTCCTAAAGGATTTTCACAAGTTAAAGAAGACTTACAGGTTCCTGAAGGCCTGGCTATTGTCAAGGCATTAAGATTAAGACAGTTGGGGACACCTGGGTGGCTCAGTGGTTCAGCGTCTGCCTTCTGCTCAGGGCTTAGATAGTGATTCCGGGATCCTGGGATCAAGTCCTGCATCAGGCTCCCCTGGGAACCCTGCTTCTCTGTGTCTGCCTCTCTCTGTGTCTCTCATGAATAAATAAATAAAATCTTTAGAAAAAAAAAAAAAGATGAAGACAGTTGGGAGTTCCTGAAGGAAGGTCATGCTCTGCCCGTCTCAAGTATTTGTCAACCTGTTGCAGGGGTTATAAGGACATTTAATTTTATCTACAATCATTTTGCATTTGTTCACATCATAACCAGGGTGCACGGATGCAAGAGCACCTGGCTCCAGGGGTCCCAAACAGACCAGGTTAGGCCCACCATTCGCCCTTGGCAAAATCCAAAGGCAGAGAGAGTCGTGGTGGTAAGACAAGAAAGGAATTCATCTCAGTGAGGCCGTCTCAAGGACTGTCTCTGAAGCACGGAAAATGCTTCCAGGTTTATATGAGGAAAATGTGGGGCGGGGTGGGCGGGTGGGTACGTGCAGGTGGACAATGCCCATCAGGTCATCATTGTGGTCAGGTCATCATTGTAGCAGGTGGGGTCTTGCTGGCTCAGGGTACCCCTTACTGCTCCAGGGGGTAGTTGTGGTTCCCATCAGGGGATGCTTTGCCTGCAGGGTCTTTTACCAGAGTTAAGAGATAAGCTGGAAAGAAGAACTGGATCAGTTAGAAAGGTCAAGGTCAAAGTGAGGGCAGTTGACATCCTCTTTCAGCTTCCAGCTTCCTTCGTCCCAAGCCAGGGTATTCAGCCCTAAGGACTGTGCTCTTCTCAACTCCAGGAAGCAGCATTTGCGTGCACGTGTGGTGGAAAAGGTGTGCATCCGCTTCCCCAGTCTCTATCCATGCAGGATTCCAGGGGCCCAGGGCCATAGTTGGAGAGTGCTCATTTTTAGGTGGTTCCTCAATCCAGACCAAGATCTGTCCCCACCCCCCAACCCACAGTGGCTCATACCCTGCTCCCTGTCCTGCCTAACATCCTGTTTCAGCAAATACAAAACCAGGAGACCCCATCCAGGCCTCATGGGTTCCATGTGATTGTTCTTCTGGAGACTGCTCTCTTGTGCCACACCTGCCCCTGGGATGGAAGGAGGCTCAGGGCTGCCACACACACACACACACACACACACACACACACACACACACACCGAGTGCCCTGCCCTCACCTCTTTCTACTTTTGCTGCTTGCCCAGAGCCTGGCCCCAGCTGGCACACAAGCCAGCGTGAAGGTAGAGCAGTCAGGAAATCAGAGAGAGAAGTCTGTTCATCCCTGCTTCCTTCTCAGCAAGTTTCCCAAGCAATGGGGCTCCTCAGGAGGCTAGCTTGGAAATCGGGGCACAAACATCTCTGCGCAAGGGTTCCCTGAGAGCTGCCTTTTAGGGGAAGAGCCCCCCAGCTTCTCAAGAGTCCCTCACCATCCCAGCAGGCTCTGCCCTCTGCAGAGCATATTCTTCCCCCTGGGACCTGTTCTGTCCAGGCTTGGGAATAAGGTAAGGGTTTGCCCAGGACAGGCGAGAAGGACATGGGTACGCATCATCTTCCAGGTGAGGAACCTTGGACATATCCCCTCCTGGAAGCCAGCAGCACACCAGCCCCTACCCCATCTCACAGCCCTTGAGAGATGATGCTACCTATGTCCAGCAAGAAAATGTGTCACTCAACCGTGTCCACTACACGACCCCGTGGGCATGGGGAAGGCATCTGTCCCCCTCCCCTCCCAAATGAGAACAGAGGCATCAGGGACTGAACAGAGAACAAGAAGGACCAGACCTGGATCTGTGCGGGTCCTGGATGGGTCCCCAGAGACAGAATGCCTGTGGCTGTGCTCAGTGGGCGGTGAAGGCAAGAAACAGCTCTCGGGTCCCAGAGGTAGCAAAGTGTTAAGAGGGAAGGGACACCTAGGAAGGCTGCAGAGGTGCAGGAATTGGAGGAAGCAGGGAAGGCCAGGCAGATAAGGCTCTGGGTTCTCTCCCGCTTTGGGGCCGCAGCCAGAGAAACAGCACAACCAGTTGCATAATCCTTCTATTTGCCCAGAGCCACATTCTGTCCTGAAGCTTGCTGCCCGGGACGGGACTAGAGAAGGCACCCAGTAAAGACTGGGTAAGGAAGGGAGTCCACGGCGAACAAGGGGAGTGCTGGGTCCCCCACCTTCCACTGCCAGACAAGAGGATGGACGCCCCCAACGTCACGGCTCCGCTCAACTTCACCCTCCCACCCAACTTCGGCAAGCGCCTCACCGACAAGGCCCTGAGCATCATTCTGGTGTTCCTGCTGCTCATTATCATGCTCTCGCTGGGTTGCACCATGGAATTCAGCAAGATCAAGGCTCACTTCTGGAAGCCTAAGGGGCTGGCCATCGCTCTGATTGCACAGTATGGCATCATGCCTCTCACTGCCTTTATGCTGGGCAAGGTGTTCAGGCTCAACAACGTCGAGGCGCTGGCCATCCTTGTCTGCGGCTGCTCGCCCGGGGGGACCCTGTCCAACGTCTTCAGTCTGGCCATGAAGGGGGACATGAACCTCAGGTAGGACTGGAGGTGAGGAGGAAGCCGCATGCGGATGGGAGCTGCACTGGATATGCCACAGTCTAGGGGAAGAGCTGGGCTAAAGCCAGGCTAAGGAGTGAGTGGGGGGCAGGTGGATCCCAGGGCAGTGGGACGGTGGCAGGCAGTGCTATCAACAGCTTATGCTGGGCTGGAGCCAGGAGCTGGGGTACACCTTGGTTTAAGTACCAAGTCAAAGGGGCCCAGCTGGTCCGGGGGCCTCCTGAGACCCCCTGACTTCCAGAGGTGTCTCAGAGGGGCCACAAGAACTGACGTGAAGGAGTATTGGTTCATACCCGAGAGGCCTCTGGGGAGCTCTGCGCACTTCCCATGGTGGGCCTGTTGTCTGCTTTGAGGCCAGAGATCTGAAAGGGAGTGCGCATGGGTTCCAACTTCTCCAGGGAGACCAGGGTGGCTCAGAACCAAAGAGCCCCTCCAATCCTGGAGAACAGGCAAGACCTTTCAAAGATCCTTCCAGCTACTCAGGTGTATAGGGTGGCTTCTCTTAACTTGCCCCCCCCCGCCCCCACCCCTACCCCCATGGGCCCATCAGACACAGGAACATATCCATGCAAAGAGACAACCAGAAAGATCCTAGAGCTTCCCAGTGCTGGCCCGGGGCCATGCTGGGCTTCATGCACCTCAGCCAAACTGGTAGGGGGAAAATCAGCAGATCGCCTCCCCCAAAGCACAACAGCAGACATCAGCAAGGGCCTGTCCTTCCAAACAGGAAGAACTCTGATCTGGAACTTCTGCCAGAATGAGGCCATTTCAGACCTGCTGCAGCCCCAGCAGCAGCCCATTGCTGGCTGAGGGAAAACCACCAGTCGAAGCTCCTGCCTCCATGTGAGCCTCAGTCTCCAGCCTGCCCCCTCTGAGGTCCAGACCCCAGTGGAGACCCTATTCTATGCCAGGCAGGCCAGGGGGTTCTGACAGTCCAGCTGCTCTTGCTGGTCAGCACCCTGCCAAACTTTACTAAAGCAAACCAACCAGGTAAGGAACCCCCTGCTGGTGATGAGGAGTAAGGCCATCGATCTTTATTTATTTTTTAAAAAAAGATTAATTTATTTAGTTATTCATGAGAGACACACACAGAGAGAGGGGCAGAGACACAGGCAGAGGGAGAAGCAGGCTCCATGCAGGGAGCCTGACGTGGGACTGGATCCCGGGTCTCCAGGATCACACCCTGGGCTGAAGGCGGCGCTAAACCGCTGAGCCACCCGGGCTGCCCGCCATCGATCTTCAAATGAAAAAACAAGAGTGAGTTGGTCTTTACTGGGACCCACTTTCCGAGCTCTGGACTCTCTACCCATGTGACTCAGCCCTCGCTGTACTAGGTGATGGCAAGACGGGCACAAAGAGGGGGTTTGGCTTGTCCAGTCTTCCACGGGAACATGTTCAATGTTCAACTACCTGTGAGGAAACCCTTCCCCCTCTCGGATCCAAATCCTCCTGCTGCCAAGCAAGCCCTTGGTCTTCAATCTGCCCTGTGGACGAGGCTCTTTGCAGCCTCCATGTCCCAAGAAACTCAGACTGTACCTTAATTCTGGTGTAGAAGGAGTGCAGGAAGTCAGAGGTCAGGGGTGGGGTATTCCCAGGGCTCTGTGAATCTGGAGAAGCATAAGAGCAAGGACAATGTAGAGGACAACAGGGAGTTTGTGAAGTGTAAGTGACCAGATGTCCCAGCCTCGTCGGCCAGGGGGTGCCAGTGAGGTTTCTCTAGAGTGCGTGCTTCTGTGAGGTTCCAGGACCCCACCAGCCCAGCCTGTAGGGACTCAGGAACATGAGCCCTCATGCTCTCCTGCTCAGCCTCCTTGTCTGGGCCCCTGGGGCCCCTCACTTCTTCCAAGGCCTGGAAGATAATGCTGCGACACCCTCCCCTTGTCTGCCATAAGGCCCCTTCCCACAAACCTCCATGCATGTTAAACCATGCCTCAGACCCCAGCAGCCGAGCACGCCAGACTGCATGCTTCACGTCACAGGCTGCCAGACTTTAACTTACGACTGGAGTTCATGTGGGACAACTCCTTCCGGTATAAGGAAATGATACCGATAATAAAAAATCAGCCAGGCCCTGCGCCAAGCACTTCACACAAAACTCTCATGCAGCATCCCGGGAGGAGGTGCTATACATAGTCCCATTTCAAAGATGAGGAAACTGAGCCACAGAGAGGCTAATACATTTGTCTGAGAACCTGGGAGGCTCCAAAGCCTGTCCTTTCCCTCCAGTATCTTCAGGGCCAGGCATGAATATAAACGAACAAAGTGGCTGGAGGTGGCCTGCCGGCTGTGAGGCACGGGCCTCCTGAGCAGGCCAGATGCCACCGTATCTCTGCCATCGGTGTTCTGTGCGAGCAGGGAGCCACCACTGCTCCAGTTCCCTGTTTTTCAAGAGAAAGTATAATCTCCCTTTTTACATGAAATCTCTAAATTTTTCAATATTGGCAACTCATTAAGATTTTTTCAGAACACTGTGTGAGCCAAACGGTGCCTGTGAGGGCCAGCTGTAGCCCAGAGGCTATGCCAGGTGGAGACCTCTCTTTAAGCACAACACTAGACTACGGCCCGTTTAGAGTTGGGGGGGGCGGTCTTAAGACCCCGATTCCACTTTATACATGAGGAGCTGACGTCGAGACTCGCCAGAGGCCCCCAGAGTTTGTGGGCAAGTCGTGTGTGGAGGCCGTCCCGGGCCCTCTCCTGCCCTTACTCCCTCTCACAGCGGGGTGAGTCCGGGGCCGCCACCATCACAGGCCAGAGGCCACGTTCCTGGAGACTGGGCCCCCGGGTGGAGCAGGCATGACAGTCCCTTCCTCGAGGGTGCCACCACACACAAGCTCCCAAGAATGCAGGTGACCCCCAGGCAAGGGGAGATGCCCTCAAGGTTGAAGCGAGCCTGCTCTTCCGAGACAGAGGGCAACGAGGCCCTGGGACGGCCTGCACTGCCCTGCACGTTCGCCCAGCCCACAGGCCTCCCCACGATGACAAGGAAGCCATTCCGGGAGCCTCACACTTCACCCGACACTGTCAGGTCCCCCTACTCAGCTCCAGCCCCCAGCGCCTTTACTGACAAGGGCTCAAAACCTGTCCCTCCAACAGGCTGTACGGATGCCCAAAAGCAGGGCATGTGCAGTGCTCTTAGCGGGAAGGAGAACTGAAAACCCACACGTGCTCCCTTCCCTCCGGCCCTCCAGCCCCCGCGACACGGTCAGGTCCACGCTGTCCCTGCGGAACAGGCTCTGGCCTCAGAGCTTCCATCTGGGCGGGTCACCTCTCCTCCCTGTCCCTCGGGAGAAAGGATCACAAGTCATAGACACCAGCAGGTTGGGAGGCGCGCCCAGCACTTGCACATGGAGGAAGGACCTAGAGGTCTTAGAGCATGGTTTTCACCTCCCTGAGTTCACAAGGCACACCACATCCCGGAGAAAATTCCAGAATGTCTGACACACCACGCCAAAGCAAGCATGACTCCTCTGCTCAAGGACATCAAAACAAGCACACAAGTTGTGTGTGGCTTTTCTCACAAGAAGAGATCAATAGCTAGCACTGTTCCCACTGGCCCCCCTTCTGGTGCCCTTCCACCCATGCCAAGGGAGCAGACCCTTTTACACCTGTGACTACCTACTTGTAAATATCCATAAGCAAGATACACCGTTATACTTGCCTGTTGTTAAGTTTTACACAAACAGTACCATCCTGCCCAGATCCCTGGACAACTTGTTTTTTTTTTTTTTTTAAGATTTTATTGATTTATTCATGAAAGACACACACAGAGAGGCAGAGACCCAGGCAGAGGGAGAAGCAGGCTCCATGCAGAGAGCCGGACATGGGACTTGATCCTGGGTCTCCAGGATCACACCCTGGGCCGAAGGCAGGCGCCAAACTGCTGAGCCACCCAGGGATCCCCTGACAGCTTGCTTTTTTGAGATAGAGGCACCTGAGTAAAACAGCTACCTCAGCGCATTTGAACTGCAGTGCAGTCTGCTTGAACGGACCTGTTCTGCGGCAGACACTTCGTGGATTTCACGTGCTGCTGCTGCTGGGAGCGGTGTGGTACCTGTGCCCCTGGCGTCCTGGGTGACAGCGCGTGCAAGCAGAGCAGGACTGCTAGGTCATGAGGCTCCCGCATCTACAAACAAATCTCTAGAGTACTTGTTCCACTTGACACTTTCCTAAGCAGCGTAGGAAGATCCTCCTTTCTCCTTGTCTTCCTCTGTACTCGGAATTGCCAGACTTTTAATTTGCGCTATCTGGTGAGAGTGAAATGGGTCATAGCAGTTTGAAACGTGATTTTAAGGGAGGGGTTAGCACCTTTTATGTTTAAGGGCCATTTGACCAATTCACCATTGGTCCCCTTCTAGAAATAGGTCCTTTGCCTATTTTTCTATTGGACTGTTATGTCCTTTCTCAATGATTTGTAGTTATTTGTTGTTTTTGTGGATTGCAAGGGTCTACTCACAGTTTGGGGCTCGTCTTTATATTCTGCTGATGATGTCTTATGATACAGAGTGCTTACTTTAATTAAGTCAAATTTACCACTATTTTTCCTTGACAGTTTGTGTTTTGGGGGGAGTTCCATAAAGAAATCATTTACTATGCTTGGGAGTATCTGGGTGGCTCAGTGGATGAGCATCTGCCTTTGGCTCAGGTCATGATCCCAGGATCCTGGGATCGAGTCCCACATCGGGCTCCCCTGACAGGGAGCCTGCTTCTCCCTCTGCCTGTGTCTCTGCCTCTCTCTGTGTCTCTCATGAATAAATAAAATCTTTATTTAAAAAAAAGAAATCATTTACTATGCTTAAGGCCATGAAGATATTCCTCTACATTTTCTTTGAAAAACTTTAAAATTATGCTTTTCACATGGAGATTTTCAATCAGCCTAGGACTTTTTTGTAGAGTGTGATCTAATTTTATATTTTTCAAATGAATAGAGAGAATCCCCAGTACGATGGAGTGAATTTTTCTCCAGTAATTTGTAATGCCAT